TCTAGGTAAATTCTACTTCACAAAATATTAATATATTATGTGCCATTTTCAGATAAGCTGTTCATTACTTTACAATGTCTCTATTATTAAGTCTAGGTAAATTCTACTTCACAAAATATTAATATATTATGTGCCATTTTCAGATAAGCTGTTCATTACTTTACAATGTCTCTATTATTGCTAGAAGATGCTGTTTCGATCAAATAGGATTATAATTTAATTTGTTTAACAATGACAGATTAATTTTATCTAAAATTTAAAATCAACGTAAAGATATAAGAAGTATTTTTGTCCAATCCGTCTGACAGCATGGCTGCAATGCCACACCATAAGATTTCAATGGTAGATCTAATATGGTGTCAACCATAATTAGTATTGCGCAGAGTTAATGTAAAAATAGGGAAGAACGACGTTCTAGAATAATATTAGCGTTTTACACGTGAATTATATTATACAAGACCGAAAATGGTCAGTTCAAAAATACACAATGTACAAAGAATTTGTATTATTTTGTACCCCAACCACTTTGAAATACGCAATATAGAAAGAATTAGTATTACTCTGTACTACAACCAGTTTGAAATACGCGATATAGAAAGGATTAGTATTATTCTGTACTCCAACCAGTTTGAAATACGCGATTTTGAAAGGATTAGTATTATTCTGTACTCCAACCAGTTTGAAATACGCGATATATAAAGAATTAATAGTGTTATGTACTCCAGCCAGTTTGAAATACATGGTGTACAAAGGATTGGTGTTATTCTGTACCCCAGCTTGTTCTATCTTTTTCGGGGGTTGTTTTCTTGTTTTAGTTTTTAATGAAACTTAAAATAGTTTCAGTATTAACACAAACAGTGCTAACACAAAACAAGTTACATTTAAATTATACTGATAAGTAGATTTGATTCTGTGTTTTTTTAATTTACATAATCTATATAGCAATCCCCCCCCCAAAAAAAACAACAACACACAAACAAACATATTTATATTAGAGATGGCGAAGTGAATCACAAGAAAGAGCAGTTTTAATAGTGCTAGTTCCGGTTCGTAGACATGTTGTGAAAGTCAGCGTAGCTTCGGTGACAACCTACATGTTGGAGATAGTTAAACAAAATTGAAATTCTACGTTCAAAACCAGATCAACGAAAATATATATATATATATATATATATTACTCATAAGCGCGAGTAGGCTTTCACGTGAGGTATGTAGACTACCTTGTACTAAAATAGAGGAAATTGTACGCAGGTGCTGAAAAATAGAGCAGTTGACTGGTCGAGCCAGAGATGGAAATGAGGTCCCTAGGTCAATGGCAGAGAGGATAGTAAAGCTAGTGAACCTTCTCGGTTACTCACTTCTAAGAAGAAACGCTGTGGCTTTCACAGGAGTGAAGGCAAAAGCAGTAGTTTTCCTCGTATATGTCGGGTATACTATACTTACTTATGCCATAAACGTTTGAGTAACATATGTTATGGTGGGTTTTAACAAGAGACAGTGCAAGTGGTGGAAATCGTTATGTCTAAATGTTGGCAGCCTGGAAAAAAAGTGTAAAAATCGTAAGCTAAGAGTAATTTGCGAAGACTTATTGATCTCTAGAAGTAAATAGAGCCAGTTATAACTTTTTATTGTCTTCCTGCAAGCTGTGCAGGCCACGGCTTGAATTATTGACGCTTGGTGGCCTTGAGTGACCCGAAAATTGAAGATGAAGACTGAAAGTGTGGTTAATTTGTCGTATATACTCAGATCGGTAAGTTTACGAAAGTGCAGTGTTTTTAAAATGTAAACGATATAACACTGGCTTAACATTTATAGTTACTACGCTATAAATTCTCTTGTTTTTAGTTTCCTAAAAAACCTGTCATTTTAATGTAATCCGAGAGATCTCCGAAATTTGTATTACATTATTTACTTATTTCTTACAAGTTGTAAGAACTACTATTTAAACCATTTGATTTCCCTTTTATATTATCGCCACTTTCTTACTTACTACATGTATATTAAGTAACAATTCTAGTAATTTACCATGTAATAATAGAATAGTATTAAACAAAACTGAATGGTGATAAATTTTATAGAAACTAATAAAGTGATTATAAGTGACCACTCAATACCCAGTTACCAACAATACCTTGTAAATATTATCTATTATAAGTTTACAGTATTCAAGACAATACCATAAACAATTATTTGTCAGTAATGTCTAAATTTAATTTGTTCAAATTAAGTTCACCGCATACAGACTGTTTATTCTATTAGAAACATCTTCAGAGCTTTGATACACATTTCATTAACGAATGAATTGCTAACTTGTTGTCTTGAATTTTAAAACCCGTATGTCATCAATATGTATATGATGCTACTTTTCTTTCTAGAGAACTTCTGACAAATTTATATGAAAGGAAATACAGACATATTCAAAACTTTTTATTCGTGTTACCAGAGAAAATAATTTGAAAGTAAAAGCTCTCAAACTACAGCTTAACATGCTTAAGGGTAGGTGGCTAATAACGTTAACAAAACACACACACACATACCACTTTGTACAAGATAGCAAAGTCCCTATTGCTATTATATAGCTGTTTTTCAGTCGAAATTTTTGATATTGACGGCTGAGTTACTTAACAGTAAAACTTGATCATTGATTAAAAAGCAAAATAGTTGATTAATAAAAACACTGAATCCAATTCTTAAGATTATCTAAAACAAATAATACAGTTATAAATCTACCCTCACGTTAGGCCTATTTTAGTTACCCGTGGAGTTCAAATAATTTCGTAGTTCACTAAACGCAGGGGCGGATCTAGGGAAGACAATTAAGGGGCCCCCAAAATCTAGTAAAAATCATAAATAAATGTACAAAGTTATCCAATTTTAAGCAGTGGAAAATGCGACTAAGTATGTCTACTGAATTATTTTATTACTTGACAAGTGATATGCGATATTTCAAATACCACAGCAAGCAGTGTCCCAAAAAAAAACACGGTTGTCCCCTTCCCTAACAAAGAGACCCTAGAGCTGTCCCTGACTGAACGTTTACAAATGATCGGTTACCTAAATTAAGATATCCTTATTCAATGAGAACTATGTTCGTAAGATTGCTTATACAATCTCAAATTTACGATACAGCTTTTTACTTGAGAAAATATAGTATTATCACTTTGAATGTTCCAGGCTTACAAAGAATTCATCTCATTCAAGTATCCATTTAAACTTCATATTTAAGTTAGTTCTGTTCTTGTCAAAAAGTTGTAAAACAGCAAAAATTAATACAGTGAAACATCAACCCATCTTTCCGAACTAGTAAGAAGAAACAATGTACAATTTGTTTGTTTGAATTTATGCACAAAGCTACACAATGGGCTACCTGTGCTCTGCCCACCACGGGTATCGAAACCCGGTTTCTAGCGTTGTAAGTCTACAGCCATGCCGCTGTGCCACTGGGGTGCAAACAATGTACAAAACAAGAACTGACTGCACAATATTTATAGTGGCGTTTCACTGATTAATCTTTCGACAATGGATGAAAAAATTATACGAACCTAGCCTTGTATATATGTTTATGTAATGACTTCTACCAGAAGAACTGCTAAAATTTTACAACGACAATTACAGTTATAATTATTAAATAGTCTTAATCACGAGTAACAAGCAAACTACGAAAAGCTTCTACGATCACTTCGCCTCAGGTTATCTGTCGGGTACATTCGTTAATCTTCGTATCATATTGAGGTCAGAAAAGTGCTTGTGGCCGTTAACGCCGTAATGAAAGATAATTGTTTTTTGCTGTATATGATGTTTCATTATACAGTTACCTTGGGCATCTTGTGAAACCCCATAATCGAATCCGTAATTACGATTTTTTTTCATTGTTGTTAACTATACGATATATTTAAAAAAAAATCAAAAATTCAGCGAGCAATCCTACTACACACCATGTCTATTACAACAGGGAGAAGAAAACTTAAACCCGAAAGGAATCAGTTGAAAGTTGGTTTTCCCCATGCTCGTCATCAAAAGTTTAAATGAGCAAATATTTTCTACTTCAGTATCAGCACCGACTTGAAATTACCAACGTATACGTCTGTCTCTCATGCCCGTACAATACGTATGATATTATACTTATTTATATACATCATTTCGTTACGACAATGTTTGATCAAAAATTTGGTTTATTATTGTCGTAGTATTGGATTAAAATTAATTATGTAATTAGCTAATTCATAAAAGTGTGGCAAGTAATTTTCTTGTAACTTTTAGGCTATATGCATGGTTATTATAGAGAAAGTTTCGCAGTTCTGCGCGTCGTATCTCACAGACGCTATGGCATAAGAAGTTGAAATTGCACAGGGGTGTTAAGGGTATCATGCAGACGTTCTTTTATCGAATATGAAAAGAAAAACAAAAGATGGGAAAGACGAGGGATGAACTGTATTAGTCCCGATTTGGATAGATTTATCAACGGTAAGTTAATCTGCATGCTGCTCATTTGAAGAGACCAAACCCAACATCGCTAAGCCACCTACCTCGGAATAGACAGATTGATTAACATCTATTCGTGTTTACTTTGTCCATTTGTTTTGGAGTAATCAAGGTAGAAGAAACACCATAAACTAAATTCAGGAATAAGATGAAAAGGAAGAAATTACAGAATTGAGGGAAATATAGATGAAAGAATAGGATCCTTAAAAAAGTATAAATTATATACTTGTAATAAGCAATCATGAGAATAATTAAGTAATATTTTCGTTAGGAAGAACAAATCATTTTTAAGATTATCACAACAAACAGTTTACAAAACAATGTTACTGTTTAACATTTCGTCTGTTTTTATTTGTCTAACTTTATAAAGATGTCTTAAGTAAGAACATTTCTTATAACTTATCAGAAGCGTTAACAGAGATTGAATAAACGATGAAATGGCATTGCCTGTGTAATTTGATAGTCATGATAAACTCTGATAGCAAATAATCGTAAACCCTGAGTAAGTTATTATTCTTTCCTTCAAATATTACCCCTTTTTAACCCTAGTATTCAGTTTACGAGACGAGACAGCCTTGACGTTCTACAAATTACTGTGGTACCTAGGCCATCTGGAAAAAAAATAGGTATGCTGGTCCTGATTTAGAAGACAAAATATATTGAAAAAAAAACATATCCAAATATAATAAAGGGTTCTATCGAATTTTTTCCACAGTTGAGTGAATGGTTAATGGTGAAAGTGTGAGAACAAGTGAACAAGGCACGTGTAGAATACCCATTCAGTCGCTGGGGTTCATTGTCAAATTAAACAGAATTTTAAAATTTGTTGTAAAAATCACATAAACTACAAATAATTTTTTTGGTACATTTCTCTCAATTTGTTAATTTTGAATTCAAATCAGCATTTCAAATCTACTGCCCAAGAGACCTTTCGTTGAATAGCATAGCTCGTCAATTGAGCTGAGCTATAAACCGGGTTTCGATACCCGTGGTGGGCAGAGCACAGATAGCCCTTTGTGTAGCTTTGTGCTGAAATAAAAAAACAAAAAAACAACCAAAATATTTCATGAAATGCTATTTATATAGATACAGTAAAATAGTTTAAAAGGCACTGCTTAAATTACTAAATTCTGGCGAAGCATTGCAAAACAATAGATATAAAAGGATATTTTTATACACTTCTGATTTTGGATCCAAAGTGGACAAATCAAGAAGAATGTGAAAAAAATGCAATTCATGTGATTTATATTTTAGGTATATTGTTTTCTAATACTTTTAAATAGTACTTTATTTATTAAATAACTATTTCTTTTTATATGACTTTACTGGACATCACATTATATATATATTTATATAAACAAGACTTTACAAAAGTATTACTCAAACAAGACATGTATCACTTCAAGTAGTGGCGCCAATCTGAACCACTTAAAAAATGATATTCACTTTATATTCTCTTGTGAAAATCAGGGCAACGACTTGAATAGATTAACCTGCATGTTACTTCAAGTAGTGGCGCCAATCTGAACCACTTAAAAAAATGATATTCACTCCATATTCTCATGTGAAAGTTAGAGCAATGACTTGAGTAAATTAACCTGCATGTTACTTATTATGACCGAATAGACCAATGAAAACACAATGTAAAAGAGCGAGGCAGGTGTAACATTTTTGATATTCTGGTTATACTAGTTAGTTGTAAGAACAATTAAAGTCTAGAAATGCACGATAAATTTGGTTATTATAAAATTAAAGGTACAATATTGTTACGTCTCCGTGTTTTAATTAATTTTCCGTTACTTCGTTCCGACGAAACTTAAGCGACACAAGTCTTTACTTAATAAAACTGGTTTATTCTTTCCGAATATAACTTTACCGATACACTCAACTTCAAC